GTTTCTCATCCTCAAACCACCCAGTTTCTCATCCTCAAACCACCCAGTTTCTCATCCTCAAGCCACCCAGTTTCTCATCCTCAAGCCACCCAGTTTCTCATCCTCAAACTACCCAGTTTCTCATCTTCAAGCCACCCAGTTTCTCTTCATCAAGTTTTACTGTTCCAAGTTGTATTTCGGTATACTTACAGAATTTGGTCAAGGACTTGCTTACAAGCCGATGGAGTTGCATAAGCGATGACACACCAAGTAAAAACCAAGACCCATAACAGGATGAGAAAAAACAGTGAAAAAACAAGACGATGCAGAAAGACTTCTAGAGAAAGATACCCTGAAACTGGCCTGCTGGTAAAGATTTGAGGGAGTCTGAGGGCGAGAAAACAAGCAAGCAAACATGCAGGGGAGCGAGCAAGCAAGCAAGTAATCTACCAACCTGAATGTTACTGATGCCCCAGGTAGTAATCCCCTCATACTATGAAGTGAAGTTCCACTCATACAGACTACCATGGTGATTGAAGAAACTGCAGTACCAGCCACTAGTAACCTCAACTCACCATCTACAACAATGGCAGAAAACCAAATAGTTGGTAACCACTGATGCAGCCACAAAAATAAGAAATGTTAGTGAACTCTTAGTGAAAGCAGAGCATGTACAGGAATATATGAATAACATATTTATAATTATAAACAAACAGGCATGATATAGGGACAAAGTTCTTAATACTCCAACAGAAAAACAAATGAGATCTGTTTGGGGTAAAGGCTACTTTCTGTTTGCATGAGTTACATGTGAGACCTTGCCAACAAAGTGACTCCACACAAATAATGCTCTAAAAGCTGAATAACTTTGCCTATTTATCCAATGATAAAAATAGCTGAAAACAGCTGAAAAAAAGACATAAAGAAGCTGAACTGTGAAAATCTTCTTTACTTTTGTACACAGCAAGTGAGCAAAAAAAGCTGAAAACAAAAACAAAAAACAAAAAAAGCTGAAATCAGCTGAAAGGCTGAGAAATCTCACCCCTGGTTGAGGGATTCTCACTTGTCTTCCTCTTCTTGTCAAAATGATGAATTCTGTCTCCAGGACTGTCACTTGTTGAGATGATTACACAGCAAAATGAGACAAGGCTTCCTGATGCACTTTTCCTAATGGAATCACAAATAATGATTTCTAATAAATTCTAATCTGCATCTCCCCCAGCAACATTCCATTGACAATTACTGACTGTAATATCTGCTGTTGGATTTCAACAAGCCAACCAACTCTGACAATCTGAGTGACTTGGAAAGCAGTCTGCAGCAAATATTACTGTGCAGCAACACCCCTGTGGGATTGTTCAACTGACCTGCACTAATCAGTTATTGTAGTTTTGCTGCATTTGAAAGTTTGCCACTATATTTGGTCTTTTACATCAGTCAGCATTTTCAACCCAAAATGATACCATGTACAACTAAGTGATTTTTTGTAAATTTGTCGGCAGCAAATCACTGTTTAAAATTACTTGCTTGGTAGTGCAATGATTTTGGCCTGTATTTCAATAGGATTTGATGCAGTATGGATTGGGTATACTGACCTGTCAGCTGTTATATCCTGTAGGGTACTGACATGAAGCTTGTCTTTGTACCTACTCTGTATAACTCGCAGTTGCTGAAGAATATGAGCTGGCAACACACTCCCCTGAAAAAACACACACACAATAAGACTATTGGTGTGGCTTTAGCCCCAAACATTTGAGGAGATTTTTGGCAAGGAAATGTCCAAGAAAGATCTGATTTCCATTAGTTTCGCATTTTTCTTAATTTGGCCAGTGAAATTCCTAAGACCCCCCCCAATACTGTTTCTCAATTCATGCAGTTAACTGTCTCTTTTGCAAAAAAATTAAATAAACCGGATTATGTTTAATTAGCTTTTTTTTAAGTTGAAACTACTTGGAAATGATGCGGAACACATGTCTAGCCTTAATACCTGGCCAACGATTACACTAAAAGTCCACAGCTAATCAACTTTTCAGTCAAACGGACTCATGTAACATCAATAGGAAGTTCATACATGCATTTGACCTCCCACCAATCTAGAAATATAAACATTTCAATAAAGTTGTACAGCATACAGGAATTTGTTCCAGTGCAAGATCACGTGACACAGTCAGAAATGTACTGTTGTCTTCAAGCTTCAGCTGGGCAGGAGGTAAGGATGTTATGCTGTGGAACTCTTGCTGCAAGAAAAACCAATGTTGATCAGATGACACCAAAAGTTCATTAGTTCCGAAGATGCAAAGAACATTGAACTGGATCTTGTCTTTCACCAGAAAATTGATTTTTTATTTCCTTCTTTGATCAATTCTGAATTCTTTAGTTTTTCATTGTATAAAATCTACACGTATGACAGTCAAAAAAGTTTGAAATTTAGCATTTCATGAGTTTCAAAAATATTTAGAAATACACCTAACTCAAATTTATAAATTACCCCAAAGGAAATCCTACAAATTAACAGGTATTCTAATAATTAAGAAAGAGTGGAAGGAAAGCAACCAACTAAATCTAACCTGAGTGACTACACTGACTTCCCCTTGCATCCTGTAAACACAGCCGCTGTGTAAGGTATGGTACCACCTCACTGAGTCTCCTACAAACCTCACAACAGCCGACCTTAGCTTGGATTGCTGTTGTAATTTTACCGCAATCTTTCCTTTTTCCTCTGGCAATTGTTCATGCAGGATCACGACATGGACCAAGAAAGAGAGAGAATCTCTCAAACTCTTGAGGAGTTGACTCTTTGTGAGAAGTAGGAAGAGATTTGTGTTGAAGGAATGACCAATGGAAACATCGTTTGCTAATGTTGATTTGAAACTGCCCATTTCACTCTGAGTACTATTTGTTGACTTGACTTTTGAAGAGTTCCAACTTCTACCACGGTGGTTACAATCAGAACAATCCTGACATAGAGCAGTTACTGTTCCACCTTCAGTTTTGTTCTGGAATTCCTTGGCAAGACTGTGGCTTTGGACAACATTCAAACAATTTAAGCACTCTACAGACTGCATGCTGAATGCAACAAACTCACGATGCCTTCTCAGTTGACTGAGAGAATTGAAGTCCTCTTTTTCACTACTATGAGCAGTTGTCCCAGGATCGCCAGATGGTCCAGTACAGCTTGGTGGCAAATCTTCCTGAACAATTAGAAAGCCTTCAACTCGAATGAGGTGTCCTAGACACCAGGTGTGCATGTGATGACAATTGGAAAAAGAACACTTCCTCTGCAAGGGTAAGGCCACTTCTGATGAGTTGTCTTTTGATGGGCAACACTCTGCAGGATTTATAGTGTTGTGGTCTGGGGTGGGGTATATGACGGTGTCTTTGGACTCAAATGAGTTAGGGTGTGCCTTTGTAATTACACAATCCACCAGACCAGTTTGGTCTTTGAGTTGTACCTGGCCTGTGGCTGAGTCAAGGTGAAGGTAGCCAATTAGTATCTGAAAAATAACAAACAGTTCATAAGTAAGCAGGTAAACTGTGCCACACCAAGTCATTTTAAGGATATGGGTAATTCTAGAAAATTAGGGGTCCATTTTTTGTGTGTCCTTGTCACATGTGACAAATGATTAGGTAAGTTCAGAACACATTTTCTCATTTCCAAGAGTGATGAATTAATGTAAATTACCCGCCAAATGAATAGTAACAGTTTGAAATCAATTCTGGGGATATTTCCACGTCAAATAACAAAGGTCAGATGTAACAGGGACACACAAAGATCACAAAAAGGGTCACAATTTTGGACCCCTAATTTCTGGAATTACCAAACATTATTTGGTCAAGATTCTTAGAACTGAATGATGCTATACTGTGTCATATTCTATTTGGAATTATTCCTAGGCTCATTTCCCAAGATGAAACAGAAAGATGAACAAAGATGAACTAGACAGTAGACAAAGAATTTCTCGGCAAGAACAGACACAGAAAGTCTTAAAAGCAAGGTGTACCATGGGCGGAGTCAGGCTGGTTGACAGTATGCTCCTACAGTGCCATTCACCAGGGATCAAGGTGTCATCACTCAGACTTTCTCCCATGCATCTATGCCAACTTAGCTGCTCTCTGCACTTTTCAATACAGCCAGAGAATTCTGCCATGGATGGAAACTGCCAAGGTGGAGTCTTGAAGGTGAACAAGAGGATAGGAAACTCTGCTTCAAATATCTGAAATTCTCTTGAGTCCATGCAATACATTTTTTTACTAAGACGTATCTGTGTAAGTACGGTTTGTCTGAGCTGTTTTTTACTTAATAAGACACTTTTCCAGTGTGAATTGTTTCATTTCAGTGCAATTTTTCTCAAAGTTTAAAGAGCCTGTGCCATGTAGTTAGAAGTGCCCTCTACACAGAGACCTTCTTTATGAATTATGAACCCAAACTGTAGAAAATGTTTAATCACTGATCTGTTGTCAGTCACATGCTAAGTCAACACACTGTCACACATTAAACAAGGACGGAAATGACGACAGCTGGAAGAGACATGATTAAGAAAAGAGTCATACTGAAACTTCAACTTAAGATGTCATTTTTTTCTAGCGAACAGGAAATTTGCAACAAAAATTGTAAATAGCAATACAATGGCTAACAGTGAATTCCAATGGTACACAAAACGCAATTCAAAGATTCCACTGAAATGTCTATGCAGTCTCTTGTGTCTGTGAGAGTTGTGTGTCATTCACATGGACATGTTAGTCAACATGTGCTATGGTCAGGCAATACATACAACATTGCCTGATTTACCTGTTCATTATCTGCACCCTTTGAGGCCAGGCAGACATGGGATTGATTCAGGAACTCTTCATAGATGTTCCTTTTTCTCTTGGACAGCAGAGGCTCCTTGGAGATTGTAGATGGTGTGTTGAAGAGTCTTAGCAGAATGGCATGGAGACCCTTATGCCTAAAATGACAAGGATGTGGAGACCCATAATGAGACCATGTTGTCAGGAAACAACTGCAAAATATCTCTGACACTGCCTGTCATCCAGTCGGCAGAGCAGGTGCATCCAGTTCGTAAGTGACTTCTTGTCACAAAGGCAGATGCACCACGATTTGCAGGCTCCCACTGGACGATCACTGAAGTTGTGCATTTACTTCCGGCTCCATGTAAACAGCGATCAGTGTATGTAACTCTATGTACAGTGCATGCACAGTGGGCGTGGTTTAAACTGAAGTGATGTCACACTTACGAACCGGATAAACCTTGTATTTTCGCATGCTAATTTTAGCTACAATATACACCGGCCAATCAGAACTGATATAAGAAACTGTGATGCAGCCACAATGACAACATCACGTTGTAGACTGAATGATAGCCCTTAGCTGACTCTAGTAAGAATAAAATAGCAGCCTGCACAAAGTAATAATCTGTGGATATGGACAGATACCGTGTGTCAATTTCAGCCTTTTGGATGAGTTGTGTGCCTACAATTTCATGATCTGTGAACTTATCACAAATGTCTGCAGTGCCTATTCAACACGGTATAAAGATAAAGATTTTAAAATTCAGCAATTTTAAGAAAAGCTTGAAAATATCAAAAACATTCTTGTGTCTAGAAATGCTTCCAATTTACCAAGCATACTGAATGTCTGCAAACTCAAAGAGTTTAAGGGTGATCACATGCTTCTGAGGACACCAAAAACTTGCACCAAAAACTTCTCACTTGAGGACATAATTCAACTTAAGAATTCAATTTTTAAAGTCAAGTTACAAGGCAAACAAACACATACAAAGATGCCAGCATGACTAGAATGTACTAAATCGACTTCTTTGTTCAATTCTCTTCCCTTGCATTACATTGAATTTTGTCTGAACACAATGTATGATCTTTATATTGGGTGTTTTTCCCATTCACTGACTTAATCCCAAGATCTAGATCCACCCTTACTGCAGATGTCTTACCACTCGATGACTGAGCTTCCCAGGGTTTGCTGGCTGGTCAAAGTCACATAAGCAGCAGTACGTATTGCAAAAATAAAAATTTAAATTGTGTTCATTTTATTGAAAGTGTCACACCATTTGTGATCCTGTTTGTGCTTTACCTGATGAGAGTTGGAGTGAATTTTTTTTCTAGCTGAGTCACGACGGAAACCAACCACTCTAACTGGCTAATGGTCAAGTTGTACTTCAGAAGAAGTCTTACCATCCCAGACAAGGGTGGGCTTAATTTCTAAAATACAAACAAAACGTGTGGTCAATAGCAACATGAAGGATTACTGAAAAGCTTCAAGCCTTGAATAAGCTATCAATTAAATATTGTAAGAGCAACTTCATCAATGTGAGTCTGGCACTATGTGCAAACTAAGGGACATCATGGTATGCCTTTGTGGTAGAGTTGTGATCCAGTCCACACAAGTCACTCATAGTCATCCAGTCTAAAGCCACCAGAGATTCTGACAAACTGCACCAGAGGCTTTCCCTTGTCATTGTTCCTCTTTGTGGGTATGTGTACCTGTGACAAGACTTGAGATTCAATTTGAGACTGACACATCATTTGGTCCTTGGTAAGTGTTCCAAAAACCTACAGAATCAATGAACATTTCTGATGATATAAGTACAGGATGACCAAGTGTTAAACTACTATCACGGCCAAGTCTTGAAATTACTGCAAAAAAACCAATTACCTTCTTTGGCCCTGTATCCAGAGGTGAACACGTGTCTACTGAGAGTGTACTTTGCATACAACAGACTACACAAGGCACAGTGGACTACATGGGGGAAGGCAGAAAATAAAGAAACATGGATTTCTCTTGGAAGCAAACCGTTATCTCAAGTCCAACACATGTGGACTCTAGCTTTAAAAATTTTATTTTGCTTTGTTAAGTTTGTCACTGTTGAAGGTATGTTAGGCATTATTAATCACACGGCATTAGTTCTATGTAGGGATATGTGCACGTACATGTATATCCCTAACACTCCTCAATCCTTCACCTGTTGGAGGACTGAGGAGTGTTAGGGATATATTAATTTTATCAGCTAGGTAATTCTAAGAACAGCTTAACCTGACCCTTATCTTACCTAACTTTACTTTCTGATCATGCATCAAACTAACAACCAATAATCTATCTTTCAACACATACATGTAACCCTTCTTTTGCTGTATTAACCACCACAAACTGTCCAAAATTCAATCCACTTCTGCTGCTTATACTTCATACACCTGCCAGTCACCAACAGTCAAATCATAATTCTGGTTGGTACTGTGACCAGTCAAATTCCATCAATAGACAAAGGCAGATGACTGTGACAGACAAAGCTGGTTTATCAATCATTAACAGTCAAGGCACAGATATGTCAAGTTACATAAACAGTCACAGTCAGTCAATTTTGCTTTATGTAGGCAGGGGACTTCAAACTTTTAAAACTGTAACTTGACTGATACAACTTTTTTCTGAATGGACATTTGCATAGGAGGGTTTTGAGAAAATGAGGAAATCAGAAACGAGATGTGGGAAATCAGCAGAAAGGCATTATCACAAACTTCTTTACATCCAAATGTTGAGGTCAATAATTAACTCAGCATCATACGGAATGAATCAAGCAAATTCAAACAACAATATCTTAACCAAAAGTTCCATCTCATTTCAAATATTAATTGGTTCTAATTATTCCAGGCAATTATGCAGAAACAAGCTTGGCGCCTTTGCCAAGTAGATTTCAAGATTCAACTGCTTCAGTCTTCTATCTTTTCATAACATTTCATCTATCCCACAATGTTTAATTGTTAATAATTATCTTTATCTACGGCATTGTGCCTGCATCAAAATAGTGGATTTACCTTTCCAATCTGCAAGTGATGGTAGTGAGCATTGTGGATTGTGACTATACATCCCGACCTCAGAACTTGGTAGGATGCAGAATCATCCATCTGATAACACAGGTACAACCTTTGTACAAACACACATGGCAGATGAAAAGATATTGACACACAATAATAAAGGCGACTATCATTTCTGTTCTAACTGCATTACTGAGTACTTAGTTTGCTCACCTCATGTTCCCATCCAATTCATAAATGCCTGTAGTTGCATCAATGCACTTGGTAACAGCTGCCTACAATGAAATTATTTTGAACAAGGAACAGAGGTCAACACTTTGGTTGGGTAAACTTTTTTATGTCCAGAAGAACATCCATTAACAGATGTTGAGAATTCACACAAAGAGGAAGTGAGGGTTTAAGAGGGTTTTCTCTGAAACACTCCCCCCAAAATTGCTGTCTTCTTACAGTAAATATGCACATTCTGAAAATGAAATGCTTGTGGCACATGATGGGTACGAGTAGGGAAAAACACCAAGAGTTCTTCTTTCTACAAACTCATGTACATGTGGTCTCAGTATGCTGACACACTGTGACCCATTTCATCCACACAGAGGTGTTACCATTTTTTTTTGCCTTGCAAAGATTCCATGTTTTGGTTTACATCAAACATTATTCACCCAAATTTTAACCTTCAGTGCACTTCCTTACCTATGTACTACATCCCTTTAGGCTAACAAATCTTACGTGGACACACAAATGTGTGCAGGTACATGCCAACGGTATCCACTCCAAGTTGAAGTGTACCCCCAAGTGGCAAAAAAAGACAGATAGTAGAAAGTTTTCCAAGCAGGTTCTTGCATGCGTTCTGCGTGTACGCAGAGACCATACATTAAGGAGTAAATTCGTAGTACACATATTCAGCATACTCTGTGTCCAACGCGCCATTGATCTCCATTATAAACGAACGCCTGTGCAGTAAGTACCAAAGAAAACAAAAAACATGCCCTCTTTTGTTCTGTTCAAATCGGATAGTATGCATGACCAATTTTCATCTAGGTCTTCACATGGTGCACAGCATTCAGGTAGCCACTAAGCCCGTGGCTTTGAGTCCATTGAGGGAGCAGTAATACATAGAACCCTTTCAACAGTTTTCATGTACATAAAATGTAGTGATGTAGTGCAGTGATGCCCAGTGGCAGGTATGTATAATCTCAAGCACGACATAAGACATATGATTTGCATGGCTACAGTTGAGGAAAAAAATTGGATGAAAGATTACATTATGTATGCTCAATGCTAGATTAAGTGCAAACTTTTTTGACTATTAATTATAATCAAAATCGAATCCTTAAAATATGCTACAGCATTCAATGAACAAGTTGGAAATGTAGCTAAAGTGAGAACTAGAGGGGAGAAAGCTTAATGATCTGTCTTACCGTGACGCTATTCTTATACTCATGCTCACTGCAACTCTCCTGGACATTAACTGTGGTCTCTTTTCTGCACAGGTATATATGATAAGGCTTCCTTGTGCCCTGAACATTCCAAAATTAAAAAACAATGCTGGCCAAAAATTACATCACAGAAAACAAAGATATTCATCAAATAATCCAATCATATACCTGCACTGACAAAAACAAGCTCAAACAACAAGAGTGATTCTAGGGCATCAATTTTCAAGATTTCAGGGGAAATGCTTTGAATAAAAAGATTCTTCACAATACTATGTTAGGAGCTGAAGAACATGTTTGATTTCTTACCTTCAGAATTGTTGTAGGAGTAACATGAGTCACACAACAAGAGGAATACATTGGTAGAGCACAGTGTAAAAAAGTGAGGTTGCTTCCCTGTGGGAGAATTCAGATTCAGATTCACTGCCGAGTTAACTAGTTCTTCTTCTTGCAAGATCTGCCTGATGCTAAGGTTTGCCAAAGTGATCACAATACACATCAAGAAAGGAAACAGTTAGGTTTTTTAACTGTGAGCATTAATCAATTTAAAAATTAAATTGTAGTTGATGAAATGGGTGTGGCTGTTCTTTTGTGTATATGCTGTATCTGCTACCAATTACACATATCAAAAGTAAGCTTCAAAATTCAAGTGGATTATGCAAAATGTATCCACAAAAAATCTGAAACACAAAAACTGGGGATTTTTTGGCAGGATTTTTTCTATAGAGTATACAAATTACAGCCCTGGTGTTAAAGTTGGTGCCATAAAGATATTTTGCTGTAGTTATGTTGTTAAGTTGATAATTAATCAGAGAATTCAACTAACTGTTATTTTATCTTTACAAATTATTTAATTAAATATTTTACTCCCTCCTCAAATTCATCTTCAAGTATTGTTACCTTGGCAAGAAATGATACACTACTTGATCCAGAAACATCAGAAGAGAGCTTGAAGAAGAACAGTGGTTTCCCATGAATGCTGTTTAAGGGCATTTTAAGCAGATAAAACACACTGGCAAACAAGTATATTATTTTACAAAAAAATTTAATTTGGCTTAATTAATCTCTCCTCACAATTAGACAACAGACCTACAGGTTCTAATTGTAAACACTGAAATTGGCTAGCATCACTTGCCACAAAATCATTTTCAAAAGGTATGTTTAATTTTAATTGGACATAATCTTTGGAGCCTTTTTATAAACTATCATGATCTAGCGTTCATTATCAACTTGATTATAAAAGAGAATGGATATGATATGGATGTCCAAATCTGCAAAAACCCTTTACATGGTAGAGACATTCATTCTGAAAGTTTATACAACCTAGACGCATCAACAGGGCTCTTTTAATGAAATTCACTTCTTTCAACAATGTCTACGTCATTAGCAGTATAACATTACATGAACAAATGGCTTAAATTAAAAGAGCTTTAAAGACAATTTGATTTTTAAATGTAACATTTTCACCAGGTGAAGGGTTTCACTGATTGCATCAATATTGTATTCAAAAATGTTCAATAGAAAGCCTACCTACCTTATTATTGGACTCTTACAAACTAGTGTCCCTTTTACGGTGACTTGCTTTACTCTTCCCTTAGAGCTGCAAGAAAAAAAGTTTTGCCAAAGTAACCACGAATTTTCCATAAATTCATACTAGCCACTCTGAAAATGTTAACTACCATTTTGAAAAAGTTAAGATGTTTCTTTCACAGCCTGGCCAATACAATGACAAGTGACAATCAGTTAGCTGGTGTGTGTGATTTAATGCACTGTTCCATGTGTTATCATGTTCAAAGTCTTTTAACTCAAAAAGATTGATGCTGCTTTGGTACTGATTCAGACAACACCAACTCATTTGCTACTCAGTGAATCAGTCATGGCAAAGCACCCTGCTCAAGAACACAACTACCATCAATTTTTCTGTATTGTGCTTTTTTATGTCCTCCTTAATACTTTCCTGTTGTTTTGGACCTTCTAGCAAACATCTGAATATGTTCCACAGCCAACTCTACAATATGTTTCAAGATTGGAGTGGTAGAGTTGTACCTGTTATGATGCTGAAGCAGCTGCACTGCAGCAGAGGCAGACAGCATTGTCTGCTGTTTGTCAGACAGTCGTCCAGGCTCTGAGGCTATGCTGGAGATGACCACGGGGGTACAGCGAGGGCAGATCTCAACCAATCCTTGTACCCTTGCATCAGCACCTTGGAGCCAACCAAGTCAGAGTTTTCGAAATCACCCAAGCTAAATTAAAACAATCCTTGAAGCTGCCAGCATCCCATGTTTTTTTCTTCTTACAAGTCTCTTTAACACTTGGTCAGGTGCTTGGCAAGTATGGGTTCTAGTATTAGACAATCCTAATTTACGCCAACTTGTATGTAGAACAGTTCACAAACAATGCCAAACTGAGTTTGTACACTGCAAGGATATGGCTGTACAAAATGTCAAAGAAAGTACAGTATTCTGATTTTATTCCAACACATAAAACAGTGACAAAGGCATAATTGGTACTTGATTTATGCATGTGCATAATTGTGGTAATTAGTACAGACTTATATTAGGCAGTACACACATATAGGTACCTGGAATAACATTCCAACAGGGGATTAACAAAGCTTGGTTGAGCCAACCCCAGTGACAAATGGCTACCTATGAAGAAATATGTACCAACATAACTTTAGAATGAGAGCAAACTGTTTTAAAAATCGAATAGTCTGGAGGTAAAAGTAATTCTTACTTAATCTTGTCTCACTTTCACAAAGTTCACGTACGAATCTCATCAATGCACAACTGGAGCGCAAACACACTGCCATAGCATAGCCATACACAGCAGACATTGATTATGAGCACTTGGCTACTTTTGACATCACCAGTCTCAATCGAATTTCACTATTACGTTTCACAAATGCATGCAACGGTTAAAATTCAACATTAAAATACCGAATCATTTGGTAAATTATAATCATTCTGTATACACACACATGAATGCTTAATTTAATTAATGAAATTGATCATCGGTGTACTGACATTCCGAAGACTCTTACTGTGAGAGTTAAGTACCTGACACTGCACTTTTCCGGTATCATCTTTAAGATACAGTTCATCCTCCCCTGTTGATGGACAATGTCTCTTGTCCTCTTTGTCTTCCTGTTTGCGATGAACATTTGGTGATGCAGTCAGCCAGGCCAGAAGAAATGAGTTGGTATTTGGTATTGGCTTCAAGCCTACAAATGATTAAGGACAACAAAAAAGCACGAGCAAAGCTCGTTAAAAGGCTTTCACATCTGAGAAAACTATTTAACCAGGGGTTTTTGTGGACTTGTTATATCGTACATCAGTCAAAGTTTTCCAACATCAGGCAAAGTAAATGTACAAGTCCACTTTAACATTCAACTCTAAAATTCCATAGACATTACTGCTACATTTGTCAGGGCCAAGGAGTAGTATGATCAATGTTTACTCCCTTAAAAACATTGGGCAATGAAAATAATAAAAACTAAAATCTTTCACCAAAGGTCTCAAATTACCCAAGTTCAGCATAAATTAAATGATCTGTGGAAATGTCCTTTTGGATTAAAATGTGCCCTGGTTTTGTGCATTTAACAGATCTGAAACTTCAAATGAAACCAAATCTTTATACAGGGTTTGTAACTTCCAGCATTATTTGTCATCATCAATTGTTTAAATTTGTAAAATATTAATAAAATGTTTGACTGTTCAACAGCAAAGAAATAATCAGCCACAGACATACTGTACATGTACCTTGATTCACAGTGTGATAGTGAAGAGCAGAATGTTGTGGGAGACACTTGGCATTCTCTGTGTGACTGTGGCCTACTTGTGTGTAACCATGAAGCTCACTTATGGTAATGCACTTATGACTTTGAGCAGATGGAAGAGTATTCAACCATGAACCTTCATGCAAGAAATACAATACAAAGAAGTACATGGATGGCATTCAGCCCTTCATGTAACAGGAAATGGTGAGTGGACATTGTATATTCCTGATTCTTTTAGATAAAGGATTCCCAAGACTGAGAATGTTATTCCACGGACTCTTCCTCTTGTGCAACTTGTAATGCTTCTTATCCAAACTATCTTCACAAGCTTTGCATGTTTGTATTAATGCAGTACAACTGTGATTTTTGTGTTCCCATATGGTGACACGGGCACACTGCAGAGTTTAAAAACCAACTGTTACCCTTAGAACAATTTGGAAACATGACTTGACTAAAAGGGAAACTCGTCCCTGCAAAACTGATAGAAAAAGGTTTGACGAAGATTGTTGGTTACTCCATTGTAATTCTAAACACAGAGGTCTGGAGAGGGCCAAGCCTACCCTTGAGTTGGTGTTGAATTTGTGTGGTGTGCAGCATGTAGCTTGCATCTGATGATCCCTGCCAATTACCAGGGCGACTAACACCCAAATGACTTAGCGCATGCTGAGTTACTGTCTCCCACATACTGGCTCTAGTGATCAGTCTGGGTAAGAAACCAAACAAAAATGAAGACGTGTTGAATGTACTCATATCTGTGTGAATGTACAATAAACTCTAAGAAAAAATTGAGGGCACTGTGGCAGTGAAACTCACCTAGACCACAAAGCCGCAATTATGTGACTATTGGTTGTACATGTACCTCATCGTTAAGGAACATTAGGCCTAAATTGCTAATACATGTAGTTAAATCAATTCTTCACATCATGATGGTCTAATGGCAAGTTTGACTTTAATTCAACTGGCCAAGAAATTTGTTTTAAACTCTCTAAGAAACCAATAAAATGTGGAATAATACAAAGCACAGTGCAGTCAGGCATCAACCTTAACCTTTTTTTAACCAGCCTACCGGAATTTTCACAGGCTCACTGGACATTATTTGGCAGAACTAACTTTGACTGGTTTTTCAACTTTATAACCATTTCTGTGGCGTCAAGATGTCCATTGTAAAGCTGTTCAAAACAGTTGAGGATTGAAAACTGTTACAATTAAATAGTAATTTAGTAAACAACATGCTCAAAATTCAAAACATTTATAACCTTTGATTAGTCATGTTTACAAAATAAAACAAATGATGGTTTCAAACAAGTGTTTTGTTCCTAGCCCACCAGGCAAATTAAGGATTACATTTTACTGCCCCACACCAGTTTTTACAAGCATTTAAACACCAGTCTAGTGCTGCGATCAAGGCCTGATGCAGTGATACTTAAAGAAATGCAACATGCTGCATTATTAGAGTGTCATTTCCATCTTTACCATGTTTACTAGTCCAAATAACTTGGACCAAATTGCCTTTTTGAACATTATGGAGCATTTTGGAGACCTGTGAATTCAGAGATTTTTGATTTGGGTTACAATCTATTTAGAGTGAAATAATTAATGGAAGCAAAAGCCTATAGAAGGTACATGTACCCTACAATCGCCCCACCGTGTCCAAATGTTACAAAAGGCAATTTGTAGGGTCCAAGATACGCAAACTACAGTACATATTTACCTACTTACTTAGTTGTTTAAAACACCTGGGACTTTGGTTCACTTTTCCGTGTTGCTATTTAATCTTGGTACCATTTCTGAGTATCTAGCCACATACATACATACAAGTATGCTACTTGCACAAGTCACAACTCTAAATGACTTTTGGCCTTTTCACTTTCTCAATCAAGTCGTCCCCCAAAAGCCATATGCACACATGTAATGTGAGATGCATGTAAAGTGTGTGATGTGCTGGACTGTTTTCATCAGAACGAGAGGGTGGTGAGTAAAAAAGTCAGTTGTATGATCTTCAAAATACAGGTCATAAGATTTAAAGAGATATGCATCAACTTGGTTGTTTTTTGTGGGGGGGCCAATTTGATTGGCACAATTGAGATGGTAGAATTTTTGAGCAAAGTGAATGTAGGTAGCCTTAGCCTACAATAGTAATATTATTAAAAATTAAACCTGGACTGACTTAATGATCTACATTGTACATGTAACCATGATCAGTTGCATTCCAAAACTCAACCATAGCGTTACGAACCTAGTATAAAAAGTCGTAGTGACTTTGAGTTCTGCAAGTATTACAAGGGCTGTATCTGAATCATGGAGCCATGGCCTAATGATTTCAAACAAACCGTAAGCTCGTTACCACACAAGCTACATTTTACCACGTCTACCCGTGTGTCCGAAAAACGGACAGCAATCTCCTTCCTTGCACTATACTTGAAAGAATTAGGACCTACATGTAGGCCTACATGTACTTAAACTTATCTACGCCGTCGCTTTACCTTGTTTCTATCAAAAGTTCTTCTTATTTCTTCTATCAAACGCTTAGTTCAGTAAATTTCCTCAAATTCAAAGCCTCCTGAAACCGACATGACCGAAGGTGCATTCGACCATTCCTTCCTCCATGATTCGACATTTCTTTCAACCATCGCTGCACCGTTTTTATCATTTTCAAGTGGAGCGCCAGTTCATAGTCTGGTTTCCGGACAACTCGCAGGCGCAATGTGTACAGGTGGGGGGCCGGCCGCGATTGTTTTTCCGTACCACATAGCTATGGTCCCAGCCCCCCATAGAGCTGTGCACAAAATGGTACGACGCAAGACGTTCAAAGGTCACAAGATACAAAATCGGCACTGGCTGGCTGTGTACATGATTTGTTTACATGTATATGTACATGTACAGTGCACATGTACATGTTCTCCCGCATGCTCGATGCATGTGTTTACATCAGCAAGTACTGTACATGTACATGTACTTGAAGTTAGCCGGCTTCGGGAAAGTCGTGCATTATGTAGTGATGAAGTCCGCGGTGCCCACACTGGAGACCCATTGTCGGGTGCGGATCTAAGGGGCGTACGTGGGGGGCACACGCCCCCTTTTAACCCCCAAAGATAATGAATAAATGAATAAATTAATTTAAAACAGAAGAAGAAGCGGGACAGGGAAGAAAAGAGGAGTCATACTACCTGAAATCGCACTACAGAGCGGCCTAAAATCCCCAAATGCCCCGCGGGCCCGGATCCTACCCGTACGGGCTATTTTGAGTTCGCGCTCAGGCTACTGGCGCGCTCACCGTGACGGGCCGCATTTACTATTGTTGCTTTTGTTCACACGCCCCCTTTGGAAAATCTGCCCCCCCCCCGGGAAAATCCTGGATCCGTCCCTGATTGTGTCGTCTTTGATCTTGAAATATGAAAAGGTCACGTATGATAAATATGAATGAGGATAGGGTGAAACCTTGAGTACAATTTGACCTTGGGTAGGGGTATAACAATGGAGTAGGGGTAGAAATACGGTACGAATTGACCTTGACTGTAGAGGGAGAATATGAACATAGTGGGTTAAAAACTTTGGGTACAATTTGACCTTGCTGATAATAAAAAATAGTGGATGAGTCATACAGTGTGTGATGGTATACGGACTGGCCCACCAGGCAATCCTAAGGGGTAATAAGGAGTAGGAAGCGATCATCCCTACACAATAGACAGCTCGTGCCGCCGGTTAATGAGAGAGATAATCTCTAGATAACTGACTGTCTGTAGTGGCTGAGCTGTGTCGGCGGACTATTGTATTAATGATTACATTGTGTACGTTGGAAGTGAGCGTTGGTCTGACTTAACCTTTGGACACTAAGGAAGAGAGGGCGCCCACATGCTAGCGGTCTTTGGGTTTGGCTTACTATGGCTACCGAGATTCGATCGATACGGGAAGAAGACTCTATTGTCCCTAGCCCTGGGCTGAGCCCTTTTCATATTTCAAGGTCAAAGTGTACCCAATAGGCCCCCTCCCACTACTTAGGTTGGACTGTAATTATTGGTTTGTACGTCTTCAATCCCCCCAAAGGGAAATGGTCATAACCTAAGGTTCACGACCCCTTGCACGGCCCTTGGGGTGCAGTGTCCCAATTCAAGGAAAATTCTCCGCCAGGCCGAGGCGCAGAAAAAGTACCCCCAGAGATTGTTTCGAAAAGAGGGGAGTGTTTGGGCCAAGAAATGGTGGAATTGTGTCAGTATGGCCCAAGATCATCTTTGTAGATTCAGGGGCACCCATCTGGGGGCAAAGCAGACAAAAATGGGATTGAAATTAGTCAGAAGAGCCCCAGGAAGGTGAGGGATGTCATTTGAAAAATGGCTGCTGAGAAGACTTGGAAACATTGACTTTTTGGGGGGTGAGTTTGTTTTGGGCGGATAATTAAAAAATTCATTGGTTAACCTACTAAAAATTGAAAATCGAATGAAACCTAAAGGACCGAACAACATATTGTTTTTTGTTTGAGAGGCCTCAGGGACTTCAGTTGCCTGCCATGGGGCTTCAAACTTGGTTGATTTTACACTGTTTTCAATGGAGCTTAAATTGGTTCAGTGCACCCTATTGGAAGGCAGAAAAGCAGATGGCCACTTTTCGGCCGCCTGTGTGAAATCTGCTTTTCAGGTATCAAACTGAAAAAAGCAGAAAAGTAGAATTCACGGTTGTTGTCAAAACGTCTGATTCTCATTTCTGCCTGTTCGATGGGAGAAAAGCAGATGCCCACTTTCCGTCCTCCATAAGATGGCCACTTCTCGACCACCAGCGAACTTAAAAAAACGAAGAAAAGGTAAAATCTGCTTTTCTTAAAGCAGAAAAGCAGGAAAATAGAAAAAATGTTTGTTCTGCTTTTTGAGGTGGCAGAAAAGTGGAAAATTGCCGGTTAGAGAAAACAATCTGCTTTTCTACGATTGTGATAGCAGAAAAGCAGATGGCCACTTTTCGTCCTCCATTTCGGAGATATCATTCATTCGTAAATTTCACGATGCAAATTTTCAACTACAGCACGCGCGAGCAAAATCTCTTTTAGCAGAAATTCCTCTGTTGATTTTTATTGTAATTGAGTTTGTACCTGCACTATATCGCGCGGCGGGCCATGGTGGTGGAGCTGGTCCTTACTCTATGGTTGAAGGGAAAGGGTTAACCAATTAAACCATCACTCCTGTTTCCCATGAAAACCTTTCCCTGAAGATTCTGAAGGTTTTTAAATGATTCTTGGTGCTCTTCCAAATAGTGCACATCTTTGCTTGATTTTGAAAAATCAGTCAATTGATGACACTGAACAGGAATGATTCAATATCGTGGTGTGGGTTTAACATCAAAGTAATACCCGTCAAGGGCTTTCGAGAGGATGACACAAACGTGCCGACCCTGAATACTGAAATCTAAAAAAGGACACTGCATGAGAATAGCAATTCTTTTTCTTCGACTCAGGATATATATATATATTTTGAATAATAACATTTGCATTTTTTTCAACGACCGAGCAAGTTTTATTGAGGGAAATGCACTCAGCAAGCGTCAAGTTTTTAAAGTTTACCCAGTGATTTGCTCCTCAGAACCTAGATAAATTAGTTGAATGTAAAAAAAAAAACAGAACTTTAACATTTTGATTTCAATTTTGTGATTTCTCCGATGCTGCTTAGTTTTATGCTGTATTTTCCTAAAAAGAAATTACTAGCCTAAAAACGAAAGTAAAGCGCCACGGTATAGGGCCCACTTGTATTATTTGAGCTGAGAGTTTGCATGGCCGGGGATCCTAAATTCTTAGATGGTATGCAGAATGTAACACGTGCAGAAGCTTTGGACAAAACCTTGGATATCAACGAAATTAGGTCCTATTCTATGCTGGGGGTGAAGCCGTCATTTTAAATCCGGGAGATTGACATTGACAACATCGTCTGCACTTTTAGCAACAAACTCGACCGTACTGCGTATCCCAGTGCGTCCAGGGCCGGGGGGGGGGGTTATTAAGAAAAGATTCCACTTTTTCAGCCGTAAAAATTACTTGTCCTCCCTCCCCTACAGAAAGACGGTAACACCATTCGTGAAAAACCGGCGCTTTCAATGGCAACATATCTCATCACAGCCCCAAATTCAGAACAAATCATAATATTGGAACCGCACTTTTCGCTGTTTTATTCCGGGAAGGCTGCCTTCACATCACCTGCGTCTTCCTTACTCTATCATGTATAGGGCGTATAATGTACATACCAATATCGAATAACAATTTCTTTTAATGCACAACTATAAACGTACGTCTGTCTAGCAAATGTGGAAACAAAATGCTCCCTTAGTAACAACTTGCCGTATCCTGGGATAGGAAAAACGAAAAAAACAACAACAACAACAACAACAAACAAACAAACAAATATTCAAAGAAAATTTTCTATCAGCCCCCCCCCCACGGGTGATCGAGAAAGTCCGGGGCATTGTATCTCTCGTATATAACTAGCAGTCAAAAAGTGATCTGCTTATTTGTATCTAAGAAAATGTTAGACTGAGGATGCAGCACTTAAATAAATCCCGTGGATGTCTTATTTCTTTTCTTTTAAATTTGTTATTTTTTTAATGAACGGCTTGACAAATGGCCGGAAACAAACCGCCCAGCTCAGCTTTTACAGCACTGGCCGTTTCGCTGTCCACCAAAAACCTTTTCATACCTGACATAAAACATATCAACAGGCGCTCTCACACATACGACGAGACAAGCATTTTCTTTTATGTACAGTACATGCCAAGAGAATGAATTATTCTTGGGGGCTCACCCCGCACTGCCTTTACTGGAGAAAAGCCACCCGTTGAAGAATCGACCAAGCTACAATGCATCCCTCTTGTTCTCAATGGGTGCGTTCGATTAGCTTCCCTGAAAACACCAGTGTTACACTCAAGGGAAGCCTCAAAATGAGGCTTATCGAACGCTGCAGTGTGTTTTCCAAGGCATTCTGGGAAAAAGGTCAAGTCCCCGCCTTGTTCCATCATGTACGTTCATGCTCGAACAGTCCATCCGTGACGTCATTACACTCGGGCAGCCTCCAGAGACCCGCTCGCCAGCTGGGGTAGTGGTGGCTGACACCAGGACAGGCACGAACATCACGTAATGGCTAAACGAACGCTCTCGTGTAAGTTTGATTTACACGTGTAAGCTAATCGAACGCACCCATAGGGCAAAACATTTGCATAACCATTTCTAAAGTTCCCGCCCAAACGTTAAACGGGTGATGAAATGTGGCCCGCAGGGTGTTTCGCAATATCTTCATTCAAAGACGTTAGTTTGCATACTCACACCGGGTAACTCCCAACTTCACCAAGGTAGTCTTTTTGTTCAGTACCACGTGGTCGTCGAGCGGCACAATGCGCGAAATTTGAAGTATCTGCATAAACACGCGGAACAGGTGGTCATGTACAGGCCTGCCTGTATTGATATAATTATTTAGAATTACAACTTTTCATCTTATATTTTCCAGGCAATAACTTCACGTCGAACTGAAAGTCTAACGACTAGAAATGAGGTTGCCTACCTGAATGATGTGGCAAGTGACTAAGGTTCAGTAAGTTTGCTCTGTGGGGAGTAGGGGTTGCTCTTGCAACCCTTAGGAGGTGATCGGCCCAGCTTTTGCGAGATCATGTTTGTCCTGTTAACTGTTGTCTGTGTTTTGTGACTTATTTGTGCATGCACTTATTTCGTCTGTCATTCCCCTAAAATTATTGTGTTGACATGCTGCTCTCGTTTGAATCTTTTTGTTTTTCTGCAGGGGTAGCTCTTGCTACCTTCATGAAGCGATCGGCCCTGCCCTTGCCAGATCATATTTGTCCTGTTAACTGTTGTCTGCGTTTTAATTGTGCGTGCACTTATTTCGTCTGTCATTCCCCTTAAATTAGTGATTTGACATGTTACTCTCGTTTGAGTCTTTTTGTTTTTCTGCGGATATATACTGACTGGGTGTGCGACTGCCCGGCTGGCTGGATGTGCGACCGCCCGGCTGGCTTCATGTGCGACAGGGTGTGTGACTTCCTGAATGAAGTTTTGACTAGAGTGAAGCAGCGATGCTGGATGGGTTTTTTTTTTAGAGGAAACATCTTTTAATTAAACAACTGACCTCCAGGAGATGTCCATCACACCACTATCTTAATAAAAGCACTGCTTCATTTTCAGCTACGCGTGCATTCCATCCCAACTGCTTTTGGAATAAGTGCCACGATTTATCTTCCCCTCCCAACTTGTTTTTTTGTCATCGTAGGGCCTACTTGGAAGTCCCACCCCGTAACCCGGCCACGGCTTGACCAATTAAAGGCTGAACTGACCTTGCAACACCTACACACACCAGCTTGCAGAAAGAAGTGATGTACAGCAGTTGTGACACTAAGCGTCAGGCTGCCGCTGACATCCCACAATTCAGAGACAGAGACTGAGATAATGTGCTTCTTGTACATTGTGTGTCATTTTACATGTTATAGAAGTATCGAAATACATGTAGGCCTACCTGGATAATTTCTGAATCATTCCATTCAGTTTGCACTTAAAGGCGTGCTTGATTGCAGGATCATAAAATTTACGGCAGCATTTTCATCAGAACCCAAGAATTATGAAATACATTTCCTGTTGTTATCTAAGATTCTCATACTTGGGCTTTATAATCTAAACTTCCTGGCTTTTCAAACTTTGTTCTTTTAAAAGTTTCTTCTGTGTTTTAGTAACATGTGTTATGATTTATTAATCGCTCTCATTCGTTCTATCAATTTAAATTGTTCATATTTGTATTGGTTCCTGTTCATAATGCATGATTGATCATAATGACAGTCACACTGAATTAAAAAAAATTGTTTTTGCATTGATGATAGTATTTCATTGCGAGTAACAGGACCTTAGAAAAATGTTTAGCACAAACCATGCAAGAGACATCCAATGTGTGTTTAATAGTTTTTGCAACATATCATCTGGACCTTTCGTATTTGTGAAAGATCACTTTCAAAAAGTACATACAGATAATTGGCAACAGCTTGCAAGTACAGGTAGTTTGTACTCATTCTTCATATTAATGGCGGGTTATAGATCTGTTTATATATAACATCCATACAAATTGTTAGCTGTGTGTTACATATATGTGTTTCTTCATTAGCTAATTTCTACCTAATTATTAACTTTGAAAAACTTTAAATTCATACCCAATAGTTCAGATACTAAGTTTTTTCAAAGATAATGCACTTCTATTTTTGGTGTGAACATTTTGAAAAATAACATTAAACTCAAGAGTCATGGAAGCATTTATTTTATAACTATATAGGTATGTAAGAATCCATATATGTAAGAACAGAATTCAGTTGTCCCAATCTGTTGTTACAGCTTGTATGATTGCAGTAATATTACCTATACAGCTATGAACAGTAATGGTACTGTATATAATTATTTTAGTTTTTGTAGAAATGCGAATATTTTGTATGAGTTTTCAACCTTTTGAACATTTAAACCAATTTTGTTTTATACTGTTGCATGATGGACCATTGTTGCAAGTCGCATAATACAGATTTTGAAATGGTAGATTATTTTTGAAGATCTGCTTTGACATTTTACTGCAAGTAACTGAACCTAAGACAAAACTTGCAGAGTGTAGTTACTCGCCAAGTACAGTATTTTTACTCGTGTTTTTGAGTCATTTTTAAAGCACTTGTAGACGCAGGTTAACTTGCATGAAAATGTATCTATTATGAATCGATTTTTTTTCCAGCTAGCTCAAATGATTTGAAAGAAGACTCTCAACAGCTTTCTTCAGAAACTTATCAATTTATTGTATGAAGTGACAACCTTGAACTCGCAGGTCCTTGAGAAATGGAGATTTTGTAGGTGGGGAAAAATGGAGCACTTTCATATGCATTTTGAAGTAAACTTCGCTTTAGTTTTTAAAATAAACAGTCATCACTAAAACTAAGTGCATTTACACAGCGTACAGCGTGTTTGTCAATGACATTTTTTACCACTGTTCTAAATTTTAGAACAGTGCATTTCAGTAACGTGAATAAAAATCTTTAATATTTATTTTCATAGTCACTGTAGACAGTTTTACTATAATTCCCACAATACTATTTTTTGTCTAATGAAAACTGTTCACAATGGAACAGTTTTAACAATTGCAAGGCCTTGCATTGAATTCATGCATGCTGTCAGTATAGGCGTTGCCATTATCAGTTTTTCCATGTATGGCAGGGTTGGGGGTGCCCAGCAAACCTACAATTCAAACATGTGAACGTGGAAGGAGACGATACTGCCGCTTTTGAACCCCTTTTCTCCTTTTCGCTTTTTATTATCTTTTTAAAATTAATTTTGCTTTTTATAGCTTTTGTCGCCCTTTATATTTTCTTGTTTCAGTCGAGAACTTGGCAGAGGTATGGGGAGTTGGGTCGAAGTGGCCTCAATGCACTTCCATTGCGCACTGGCCAGAGAGCTCGAGCTATATTAGCTCTATGGTACTGTCGTAGTGTATACAAGCTGTTGAAAACTGATGAAAATGTTGGCAATCTACATCAAAGATCGTAAAGCGCTGCGATCTTTGGTCAACATGTGTAGTATTACGTGCCATGGGAGTAGAAGTAGCATACGTCTTAATCAAATGCTGTTCGTAGTGACAAAAAGCGGTAACTTTGACTCCTCGTGGTTCAAGTTGGCGTATGAGTAGTCTAGGGCGACAAAATACAAAAACTCCTGAATATGAATGTATAAAAGACACATGCAGAGGTCGGTTTTTGTACACGTACATATTACAAGGTGTTACAACAATACCAAAAAGATCTAAATGTTTCTTGTCATTGGATTTGACAAGAAGGTGGTAGGGGGGGGGGTAATTTCACATTCCTACGAAATTCAAGTTCATCAATACTTTTAAGAGTGCGCTGTTTTGCTTTTGTTAGACGTGGCAAACGTTGTCGAAAGAGCCTAAGAAAAAGTACACTCACCTTTCAAAATTCCCAATAAAGACTTGAAGGAATTATTGGCCATTGGTATTGTCGAAATGAGCTGCTTAACACTATAAACAAGTTAAACTTAACTTACTACAAAAAATGTAGACAATTATTGTGATATTATTTGTATACAGAGCTACGAACTTGGGTGACATCTCACTTCAGCTTATGAATATGGATATTTTCATCAGCATCCGGTTCGTAAGTGACTTTGTCAAAAGGGCGGACGCGCACGATTTGCAGGCTCCCATTGGTCGATCGCTGAAGTTGCTCGTTAACTTCTGGTTCCACGGTTCCATACGGTGACCAATGCATGTAACACTATATATGTGCAGTGAGTGTGCAGTGGGCGTGGTTTAAACCGACGTGACGTCACAGTTACGAACCGGATATAAACCAAGTTTTTCCCACTTAATGCTTTAAGGAGGGGAGTTCTGAGTAACTATACAAGGAAGCTTTCCTAGATGTATCCAAGTCACAAAATTCGTAGGCCTATTACATCATCTCCCTTAAAAGATTTTTGTTTCAATCTTCATCCCAAGCAGTTTCGATTTAGTTGAGAGGCTGACAGGCATTCCCATAGAGTACCCATATCAAGAACAATCAGACGTACGAAACTTATGTGGGCATGCCCGCCAGATGAACATTTCTTCAAACCCTAGCAAAGAGCTCTGCTCTTCCCGACCATCTCACTGCGGGGGCCGGGAAATCCCCACCCTTACTCAAACTCTGCTCTCATACCCCCGATTTTTGGAAACATGACATGTATGCAAAGATCTGTGTTTTTGATGATTATTTTGAAGTTCATGGTCTTACGCGGAAAAATACACATTTTTTGCTGACTTATTTTGGAAAAATCACGTTTCGCGAGATCATATCCGATTTTTAATTAAACTAGTGTCAAAATGACCTCCACATGACATTCGCCTCGGCACAGGAAAAATTGCAGAGTGACGACAACGGAGTTTATGTCAAGGGGAATTCTGCTCCGGGCTCTTTGAAGGCTTTATCCTACAGAGTTCTCAGCTTACGCCGTTCTTGTCGTCAGTGTCGTTGTGGTTGTCGTCATGGGCGTAAATCCCGGGGATGGATGTATATACCCCCCCCTTTTTAAGGGAGGGGGTGGGCATGTAAACCATCCCCCAGCTTTTTCGTGGTGATAAAAACTAAAGCGTACTGTGAAGAATTTCTCGGGTTCCCCAACAACAAAGATATATTCCATACCTTTAAAAAATGACAATCAAAAAAGCCATAAATGGCACTGCATAAGATTCTTCGTGAATGTAATACATATTACACATGTGCATCTGTACCATGAGCATCGCCCCCCCCCTTCCCCGTGTCATATGGTTTCATACCCTACTCCCCCGCATTTCAAATTTCCACGGCCTGGCAAATCATCCGCCCCCAAGTCTCCACCCCATCCCCTCCAATTTCTGGCACAAATTTACGCCACTCGTTGTCGTCGTCATTGTTTTTTCTTTTCTTTTAATTTCTTCAGTATAGCAAAATAATCAATTTTTGAAGTTTACACAAGTGAGCATGAAAAAGTGTTGTTTTTATTTAACATAATGTCAATCCAATAGTAGGGCCTTTCTAAAATTTGAAGACGTGCATAATATATCGTATTTATCAGTATGGGTCTTACTGGTTGAAATATGCCTGCTGACGGATAAAGCGTATAATACATCTCATCCGTTGAATAAAAAGTTACAGCAACTTGAACGTATTTATGAAAATAATGTATTGGATTAATTTCTTTTGCAAACATTGGCTAACTTTACAGCCGTGCACCGCCTGGGGGCTCGCGATGCACATTCACTACAGGGCGTTCTAACGTACATAAAAATGTGTACAAGGCTGGACCCGTGCGTCGAAATGCGATCCAGTTTATTCGGAAACGAACAAAGTAAGGCAGTCCAAAGATCTTCCTATAAGGCCTGTCACTGGATACACGGCTCTGAAGTGGGATTTAGGCAAGTTTAAATATTCTTTAGGCCTGTGAAGGAAAGCTGTAGGCCTAATTGACTTGTTTTTCTTTTTATGAGGACTGATGAAGAATGTTAGAAAACACCGACAAACTGATTATGATAATAAGACTTAAAAATGGGAAACTCTAAAGAGTTGATCAAACAGTTGAAGTTTTCGCAAGATTGGTATGTAGTCTTTTGTGTAGATTTGTTTTATCTAAAAAAGAAATATTATTCTTTTATGAATTAGTAGGCCTATAATAATACAACTAGCATGGCCAAATTTCGTATAACTGGCGTACAAGGGTGAGTTTTCCTCGAATGATAATAATGGCAGCCGGGCAATGTTTTCAGGGTAATTTATGAAGTGTTAAGCAGCAGCAGGCCATGCCGGTGTACGCTTGAGGATAGTCTGCTATTTCCGACCACTCCCTCGCCTCCACGTCGTAGCATTCGACGGACTCCAACCAGCATTTCTTGTCCCAAGAGTACCCTCCCAGTATGTAGATGCGGTTGCCGACTAAACAGCTGGCGGCTTCAGCCCGCGGTTGCCCCATGACCGCTGGCAGGGTCGTCCAGGTGTCTGTCCCGGGCTCATACCGATCGATCTGCGGTACGCATCGGACGCCTTCGGGGGGGTTGACTGTGGCTCCTCCAGTAAGGTACAGGTAGTCACCCACGGAGGACAGAGAAGCGAAGAAGCGAGGGGTTTGGAGGTCTCGCTTTTGTTTCCACGTATCGGAGGCTGGGCAGTAGCATTCAACTTTGTTGGAAACTTTCCTGTTCCCTGCATTTGTGAACAGGTTTTACAGGGAAGGAGAAACATGTTAAGTCTGTCAGATGCAATACAGTCGATGTAAGCAAGCTTACTGGAAAGTCCAGCAACTCACTTGTAATGTACTGCTTGAATAGGTTCTCAAAATTTCCAGAGAGCTCGCTGAATACATTTTCTAGTCCACATTTTCTCTAGGATATCCAAAAAATGGCAGAGTAGAAAGCCATAGTACTCACAGAACACTGAGAGCATAATATTGCCTGCAATTTCTGTGTTTTGTAAAATTTAGCATGAGAGTTGGTCCCCAAAGCTGGCTTTGTAAGCAGTTCGGCATGACATCTTGGTCATCAATGTTACTGGGTTAATATTTCTCTCTTCCCGACAACTCTTGTGATTAACAGCTCCTGTCATTTGGCACTTGTCACTGTGAGAGAACGTAAATACCTGATCCACCAACCGCATACAATTTCCCATCACGCACAGCAACTGCAACACCCCGTCTGGGAGCACAAAGTTGTGCTCTCTCTTCCCATTGGTCGGTACTTGGATTATAACGCTCGACAGCAGCCAATGAGATTTCACTGCTTTGACGTCCTCCTGGGAAAAACGTAAAGGAAACAAAAATATGGACATGTATTCGGCTGGTAGCGTACATGGGTTATCACTTCAGAAGCGAAGAAGTATAAAAACAATAATAACAATTTAGTAATTTTCATTGCCTACCAACGACATATCTTCATTTAATATTTCCCGCTGTGTATCTTTTCGATTGTAAATTCATTTAGTGTTTACCTTTCGATAATCTTTGCGTATCTTTGCTTTAGTTGGACGAAAATTCTCTAAGGAGGAAAGGAAGAAGATTCCTGTCCCTTATATCAGTCAGGAGGACGGTGAAGCGAAACTGAACCGAAACGAAACTAACCATTCAATATATTCAGTTGAGGTAAGAATTTTAATACACCTGGACGGACAATAGAGTGAACAATAATGTTCCTTGACCTAGCTGATTATGTGCCAAAATAATTGTGGCTTTTTTTTATCGGAGACACAGAGCCCATACTTTGCAGCTCCTCAGCTCCATGTATTTTGAGAGTAAATACTATCATTCTGAAATAATCATTATAAAGGTACGAGGTACGATGCTGAAAACAAAGACAACTGTGTCGTGTTGCTACCATTATGATGGTTGTAACGTGTTGGAAGGATGTTCATAACCTACCGATGGCATATATCATTCCATCAAGTACGCCCATCTGAAAGCTTTCTCGTGCGTTCCTCATATCAGCAATCTGGATCCAAGATTCCGTACGAGGGTCGTACCTAAAGGCTGACTTCAAAGGGTCATCCATGTTGTTGACGAGTTCCCTACCCCCCATCACGTACAGAAACCCTCCAAGAACGGCAGCTGAAAATGAAATCGTAATTCGTTTGAACAGAAGTTTGTGGATATAACTAGAATGAAAGGCTATGGATAATGACGAGAACAATTTCCTTGCATGGGACCAACAGTCCATGCCGCCAAATGACGGAAAATTGCGGACACGGATTAAGGGTAAAAGTAAAATTGTTGCCGTCATGCAGGGTCTTACAAGAGGCATCAGGGGCGGATCCAGGAGGTTTTCAGGAGGTAGACCGAAACCTTTTTTTCATCTACTTTTTGTGGACAAGTAGAATCGATGCTGACACATCATACAAAACATACATTGTTTAAACAATGGTATTGGTGCACTTACGTTAGTTATATTGTCCCCGTTTGAAGCCTTTTTTGTCTCAGAGCGGGGGGAGGACGTTTTACCCCCGCCTGATCAGCACCTGACCATGAAAATGCCCGTTTATCATGATAAGTTTCGTTGTACCGGTTTTGAGGGTATGTTTGTGCCATGTTTTTGAAAATGTGAGATAACTTCCCGTAAATAGGACAAGTTGCACAAAAACCTTCCCCGAGTGAAATTCACAGAATGCCTCCTGTGAACCAAAAGTGATAGATTCCGGTTTTTTTTTTAATTTTATTATTAAGCTTAATGCCATAAGATCACCTCTATAATGCACAATAATGCACGTTCTATAAGATACGTCTATGTGACAAATGTCTACGACTGCTCAATCGTGTGAATTCTTCCGATAAATCATGTGATCGTGCTCTATCGGCATCACCTGTTCGTTTTATATGATTTTTTAGTATTATTCGTTTTTATTCTTTTATTTACCCATGGTAAATCCAAACAGCCAGGGCAGATTTCAATTGGGGCGATGTAGTTATAAAACTAGGATTTAAAATTTAACATAAACAGGATTTGATTAAAGCTAAACATAAAAACCAGATAACTTAATACCCCCAAAAGTGTTTGTTAAACCATCAAAAACAAGATAAAGAATTACAAGACTAAACAAAAGAACAAACTACGGAAAACAAAACTTAAGGTCAAAACCTTAAGCACTTTAGCATTTACATATTAGAAGCTGAACCAAACACATTGATGAACCTAAGACTCTCCTCCATCCCTTAAATCATAATTTTTCTGTTATTGGATTGACTGAAACTTGGTTAAGATATAGATAAATGAAATTAGGGAGTTTACCACAACTAAGATGCTCCGATAGATGATAAGTAAAAGGACTGGTGTGTCTGAACCCGAAGGGGTGGGTAACCAGTAACCCCGAATGAGATATCCATGGAAAAAGATACTACCAATTTACAATCACAATGCCAGAAGGCATTCACTCAGTCTAAGAATCCATTCCTAGGGTACAAACCGCGGACACACCAACCTTTATATTACACCAAACGATTTAATAATGAGTTTGACAGATAAAGTCCAGGTAATTAAGACCTTGGACCAACCTAGACAAATCAAGCTTGGAAGGTAGATAACTCAGACCTAGGTGGACTAGGCTGGGCTGGGCTAGTTGGACTGGAAATGGGCAGTGGGGGATAATATTTCTGACGACTGATATGTCACCATTCTGAAATACTGGCTTCCTGTCAGCCTTGTAAGCCTTCTACATCACATCCTTCTGGTGGTAGCAAGTGGGTCTTGGATGAGGTATATACCATGCTTAGCCAAGATCTCTTTACTGGAGTAGTACAGCCAGGCGTTCTGGTCGGTAAATGGATTTCGCCAGTATGTGGCGCGGTTTGTCCTTAGGGATCTTGGACGACGTCCAGACCTGTGGGTGTTTTTAATTCCTGGCGACAGGTCGCATCTCTCGGAGAGAATATGTTTTAAGTTTATCATACGGGTACTCTGGTGATTCGTCAAGAAGTTCAGGTACACCGCCAAATCGCAGATTATAATTTCTTGAATAACGCTCAACGTGAAGGTTTGCAGCATTTAGATCGACGACTTTCCATAGATCAATGACCCTCTCGCAGAACCCGCGTGTTCGTGTACAGTAACTTGATGACAGTTGTACAATGGTAGCTTGTCTTCATGCTTAGACAGAGCACAGATTTGTACTCTTTTTTGCCACTTTTGTGTGTAAGTACCTGATTTATTCGTGGACTCACATACACTTATATAAAGTAGGAATAATGTAGAATTCCTTGTCCTTTTTGACTGAGTGAACACAACCTAATTCTGAGACTTTTCTGTGTGTATAGTGTACTTGTGTAGAAAAGTGTTGGCGCGTTCCCATTGAGTGACACTGTTTCCCAAGTACATGTAACTGGTGGGGCTTGGCGGTACAAGCATAAAGAATCGGAGCCGTTAATGTCCTGGGTGGGTTGATTGTAGACTGTATGACCAGCACTCTGCGTTTGTTGCATATTTTTTTGGGAGGGGGTGGGTTTTCGAGCAGAGGAATGTTTTCAATTCCTGTTGTTAGCAAATTGTATATG